GTAAGGTAGGGAAGAAATAAAAGAGCAAGACGGTGAGACTACGACAGAGAATGAAAATAAGAATGATGATTTTTAGACTGAGCAGTAAGCAGACTTGAGCCGTCTTTGGACCCTAAAAATATTTATGGTGAAAGAGCGACCTCCTCTGGTCACATGCAGGAAATTCAAGAACTCTTTCTTAGTAAAATTCAATTTAAACTTCGCAGATAAATGCATTACTACATTGGAAAATAATTGCATTCCACATTTAATAAATCTGCCATTTTGAACTAAAAGGAACCCTATAACCCTATAACCTCAACCCAAAGTCAGGGTTCGGAGGTGATAACTTCCAGCAAAATTCAATAAGAAATTAGAGCTGGGAAAGATCTTGCTCACACTGAATCTACTCTCCTTCATAGTGATCTCCTTCCCTAGTTCAAGTGAATAAAATCGGTTGAAAACCATCCTCTAATGGCGAAACAATTTTTCCAAAATGATCACCATGGCTTACTTGAACTCCATTCGGAGCCAGCTAGATCTGGGTTTGAATGCTGGAGTTATAGGTCTGCATAACTTTGGGCCAGGACTCACTCTGTTTTCCCAACTGTACAATGGGCACAGTAACACCTACTCTCAGCATTTCTCTTCATATTCAGTGCGTGAGCACTAAGCGTGTAGGAAAGACTCGACCATGCCAGATCCTTTCCTGTGTGGGATTGTTATCGCTAAGTATGTAGCTCGGGGCTAATTGAATCGTCCATCTAATATTTGTGTATTCATTTTTCTGTTTTCCTCTTTTAAAAAAAATTGAAGATAACTGCTTCTTATTGTGGTAAGATATATTGACATAAAATTTGCCATTTTAACCATTTGTAAGTGTACATTTCAGCAGCATCGATTACATTCACAATGTTGTGTAACCATCACTACTATCCATTTCCAAAACTTTTTCATCATCCCAAATAGAAACTCTGTATCCATTAAGCAATAACTCCTCTTCCCTTCACCCCCAGCTCTTGGTAACTTACATTCTTTTTGTCTCTATGAATTTGTCTATTATAGGTATTTCAGTAAGTAGAATCATACAAAATTTGTCCTTTTGTGTCTGGTTTATTTCACTTAGTATACTGTTTTCAAGATTCATTCGTGTGACAGTATGTATCAAACTTTATTTCTTTTCATGGCTGAGTAAATGTCATTGCATGAATATACAACATTTTGTTTAGTCATTTATCTGTTGATAGACACTGGGCAATTTCCACCCGTTGGCTATTGTGAATAATGCTGCAATGAACACTGGTGTGCAAGTATTTGATCCAGTTCCTGCTTTCAGTTATTTTCGATATGTACCCAGAAATGGAATTTCTGGGCCATATAGAAATTCTATGTTTAATTTTTCTTTTCTTGTTCTAGAGATGGGCTCTCACTATATTGCCCAGTCTGGTCTCAAACTCCTGGCTTGAAGCTGTCCTCCCACCTCAGCCTCCTGAGTAGCTAGTATTATGAGCCACCATGCCATTATGTTTATTTTTTATTTATTTTTTTGAGGAACCACCACCCTACTGTTTTCCCTAGCAGGTGCACCATTTTACATTCCCACGAGCCATGCACAAGGGTTCCAGTTTCTCTACATCCTCACCAACGCTTGTTAACAGGGAGTTTTTCATCTTCCAAAACTGAAACAGCAATTCCTTGTTTTCCTTTCCCTCAGCCCTGGCGACCATATTTCTCATCGCTCCAAACAGAAACTCCATAGGCATTAAGCAATAAACCCTCATTCCATCTTCCCCAGCTCCTGGTAACTTCTAAACTACTTTCTGTTTCTTGAGTTAGGCTACTTTAGATACCTCACATCAGTGGACTCGTCTAACATTAGTCTCTTTGTGATTGGCTGGTTTCATTCACCATAATTTCCTCAGGGTTCATCCATGTGGTCCCAAAGAACAGGGGTTTTTTTCTTTCTTAAAGCTGAATGATAGTCCATTGTACGTGTACTGCCTTTACTTACCCATTCTTCCATCAGTGGACATCTGAGTTGCTTTCACCTCTTGGTTCTTGTAAATAATGCTGCAATGAACACTGGGGTGAAAATATATCTTCAAAAGAGCTTTCAATTCTTTTTCATTAAACTTTATTTTATCATGGGGATGTGGGGTACAAGCAAGGGTTAACTACATAAGTAGGCTGCATACAGGTGACGTTTGGGCTCCCCCGGTC